AAGTTCTATGTGTTATCTTGGCAGGAAGTAAAAAATATGAGTAATTTGGGGACCCAGAATCTTTTGTCATTTCCCTCCATCACCTGTCATGTCCAGGATCTTCCCAGAAGTCTTAGGAAATGTAGCATCCATGCAGTTAGTCATTTACCTCTGGGAAACCTTTGTGCCCTTAGAGACAGTGGCTTCCCATTGTGGTTTAGCATACCCCTATTTGGCTGACCCCTGGATAGAGCTTCACACTGTGAACACTGCCTAGTCACCTTTAATTTGTGGTTAGAAAGATCAGCCATGCAGTCCATCATGATGATATAGTCTGATGGTTTATTCAAGAAACAGGTACTTTTTTTTTTCTCAGCCAAAACTCTACTCTTGCTTTAGGATTAGGTGACTTTAACAGGGTTAATAGAGGAATGTCTTTTCAACTCTTATTTCTCTATTATGTAAAGCTGTTACAGAATAATCAGCTGTTCTTTCTGGCTGTCACAAATAATTTGGTCTTTGAAAAGCTTAGTGACTTAGTGGAGTCCTTCAGAATAAGGAATTTTTTATGTTTGGGTTTCTTGGTCTTGCCAGTGGTTCTGTTTTGCTTGCTTTAAACACACATAAAATGATACTGAAATTATTGCTGATTTATTTTGTTGTGTTAGCAGCATTTCAGTACTTTTGTGGTAGGTTGTTTCTTTTAACTAAAAAATAAGTAAACCAGCTGCAGTCTAAGTAGGAAACATAAGAATTTAGAATGTGTGTGATGGTTGGATTTTGCTGCTGATTGCATCAGGGAAAGTTGGTCTCTGGACAGACGGTTTTCTGGCATTTCTAATTCATTGCTTATATGGTACAGTAAAATACATATGGTTGGTTAAAAGAAGGAAATGTATTAGGGAAAAGGAAGATAAAAGAAGACCCTAAGCAATAAAGGCAATTCTTTTTCAAGGAGAACACTTTCATTTTGTTTCATTTTTGTTTACCAATGTTCTTAAGAAAACTGCTGCTGGGGATACTTCAGCTGAGATGATTTGGCTCTTTTTTGTGGCTTTCCTCTTGTTCTGTACATCAGCACTGTGGTTATTACACCAGCTACCAAGAACATAACATCTCACATGTCATTTGCATATAAGCACTCTAAGTCCAGATAGGGAGGTGTCCCAAATCCCCCAGAGATTTTATTTGTTTATTGGCTAGGCACGATGGCTCACTCCTGTAATCCCAGCACTTTGGAAGGCTGAGGGGCAGGTAGATTATCTGAGGTCAGGAGTTCGAGACCAGCCTGGCCAACATGGCAAAGCACCATCTCTACTAAAAATAGAAAAAATTAGCCCAGCATAGTGGCGCATGTCTGTAATCCCAGCTACTCAGGAGGCTGAGACAGGAGAATCACTTAAACCCGAGAGGCAGAGGTTGCAGTGAGCTGAGATTGCACCACTACATTCCAGCCTGGGTGACAAGACTCCATCTCTAAAAAATAAAAAATATATTTTAAATATATATTTTTTTGAGACAGGGTCTCACTCTGTTGCCCAGGCTGGAATGGAGTGGCATGATCGTGGCTCACTGCAGCCTTGACCTTCCAGGCTCAAGTGATCCTCCTGTGTCAGCCTCCTAAGTAGCTGGTACTGTAGGCATGCATCACCATACCCAGCTAATTTTTTTATTTATTGTGGAGGTGAGGTTTTGGCATGTTGCCCTTGTTAAAGATTTTAAACAAGAAGTTGCAGAAAGAATTTTGTAGCATGCATTTCTAAATTTGCTCATAATTTGTTTTTTGTTTTATTTTCATTTCTTGGTTAGAGTTAAAATGGCAGGAGAAAGTTGTACATTTCTATCCTTAAAGGTAATTCCTCAGCTTGTGTCCCAGAGAAGGATCAGGTCATTCTTCCCAGTTAGATTTTGCTGCTCACATCTGTAGGCAGAACAGTCAGAAGTCTTCAGCATATTCCCAAATTGATGATCAGTGGACTGAAGTATTGGAAGACTACTTCTGTCAGAGCCCCGGCTGCATATAACTCAGTTCACAAAGGTGACTTTTTCCTATATAGGCAGTCCTTTGATATTCTGTCGTTTCATTTCAGTTTGGCTTGGCTACTCCTCTTATCATTGTATAAAGTTGATTTTCTTAAGTTAGCCTCTCTAATGGTCTAATTTTTCTTCTGAAAGACAAAAAACATAGTATATAACCATTCCCCAAAGATCTGTGGTGGTTGGTGGCATGAGTTTAAACAAAAATGTAGCAATAGATAGATGATAGTTTCCAGTCATGTAGGTTTAACTTCATTTTCTTTTGTTTGATGCCTTGTAGCAAAGAAAGAAGTTGAAGGCTGGGCTGTTTGCCTTTAAGTTCAGAGGAATCCAGTTAGGGGTTCTCAGCACCACTGTGCTGAGACGTTTTTGAAGAATTTTGAAAAATGAAAGTATATTGCCTACTGCTATTAGGAAATCTATCAAAAAAGGCCAGATAATTCTTCTTTGGTCTTCATAACAACGTGGTATGGTTTGTGGCAGAGAGCTTAAAAGTGTATTAGATTTGTCTTCAATTCTTGTGTTCTTGGTAATTGTCTGTTTTCCCAAACAGAGAATAAGATTTTAATCTTCTGACTTTGGCTGATGTCAGTGGGGCTGAAGTTTCTAAATCACCCACGCACAGCACTAAAACCGTCGCTGTGAATTGAGTCCAGGACAACTTGGAAACAAGTTGAGTGTTTTTCAAGTAGGTACTTCAGCCTGTTAAGGAGATGTCCATGCAAACTATCACTAAGACAAGACTCATGACCATGATACAGAGCATATTAAACTTCCAGCTGGGTCGTGGGTTTGGGGACATGTTTCAGTTAATTAAAAGTAAATTTATGTGAAAAGTTCTTTACGAGAAGCACATTTTAAATGTGTTTTTCTGCTTTTATGATTCATCTCAGATACTCAATGGCCTGAGAGTTTGAATATTGCTGAAGTCTTTTTAAAAGTGATAGTGCCAGCTCCCTTAAAAATCATCCTTTCTTAAATCTCTGTAGGGTGTTGGAACTGGTTGGGAAGAAAGGAACAGAAAGAACAGAACTTGGAAACAAATTCTATGCATATTGTTCTTGATCCCATTTGCAGATCAGAATTAATAGCAGGTTCTCTAGCAAATCTTTCACCTCCTATGTTGCCTTCAGGTGTCTAAAATGTTACAGATTTTCAATAAAACAAAAACGTACTTTTGTAGCTGGATTATAAGACAATAAAATCTTATTTTTAAGTCATCACAGATATGACAAATGGATTTTTCAAAAGGGTATGGAAATGTTTATTAGCAAATCCCAAGGTACTTTGAATGACATTAGTGTGTAATACGTAGGTTTTTTTTTTAATTTTGAAAAATGTTAATACAAAGTATTGTTCATAGGTAATTTAACAAAACACATGTGTCCATGATTCAAAATGAAAACATAGTCACATTCTGTCATACTGCTTCAGATTGTTTTGCTTTTTAAGAAATAAACCGTTACAGTTAAGTTTGGATTCCCCTGTGTTTCTCTGGGTCCCGCAGCCTGAAACTCACTTACCCATCTTCCAGAATCATAGCAATGGAAGCTTGGAGGAAAATGTGATTCTTCCTTTTTCATTTTATAGATGAGGAAACGGGGCCTATTGAGAAAGAAATTGTACTAGGGTCATACCAACTAATAAGCAGACGCAGGACCTACGTCAAATTTAGTTTGACAGCTGTTTGTCCTTGTGTGTTATTAAATTGATACTTCACATACTGTAATCAAGGCTGTGTCAGGGATTCATCTGATTTTAGTTTAAATAGGCATAGTAGCGTCTACAGATGGGCAGTTGAATAGAATGCATGAGCCAGGCACTATGTTAGAGAGGCTTAATTGAAGATTCAGCAGTGGGCAAGTGGTCCCTGCCCCAGAGATGGGATAGAGGAAAACCTAAGAGAATTTCAGTGTGTGGTCCCTGGTGGCATTATGGAGGAGACCTGTGAACCAAGAGGGTGTTGAAGGAAGTGTTACGAAAGGAATGGAAAAGGCCTTTGAGGTCTGGAATTCTAGCAGTCTCTTTACTGGTTTCTTCCCCTCCCCATCATCACTCCAGTCCCCACTAAATCTGTATGTCTGGTTTAAAAGAGATGTTGGCCCTTAACTGGTAAGTCGATGTAGACAGGACCTGTGACACTTCCTGAATCAGTCTGTGAGGCATTGCCTAGTGAATGGTATCTGTGGCTGATTTCCTGAGTGAGCCCTTCCTATGAGAGTGTTGTCTCATGGAGTGTCCCCACAGACAGATCTTTGATTTGTTTCTGCTTTACCTCTGGCTCCCTGGAACAGTTCTGGTATGTGACTTCATAGCAGCCCTGAGAGCTGATGGGGAGCCTTCTGAGACACAGTGACCTGAGTTTTTACGTCAGCGGTCCTTGTAGGTCAAGGGAGTGAAAAGTAAAAGAAGTGAGATAAAATCCTGTCCTTGCCAAATTGTGGTCTCTGCTTTATCTTTCAGAAAGTCTCCATTTTCTCTTAAGTCACAGTTCCCAGAGGAGCATGTGGGTGGCTCTGATGACCTCTCGTGTGTGGTTCCTGTCTCAGAGAATGGGCTGCAAAAAGCCAAAAAACAGAGTTAATATTTTCAGATTTTATATTCTGTGCTTTATTACAGTCATACAAATTGTATAACCCCTGTTGGCGCTTTATTTATGTACTTATTTGTAATTTAGACTTACACATTGATGGCAGACACTTTCACTTTTAGTTTTGGTAGCCGTTCAGCTTTCTGTCCGAAAAGTTCCAGTCTTACTAGTTTTTGTTAATTAGAAATCACATCTGCTCTTGTTTTTCCTTCTCCAAATAACATCACAGACCAGCTTCCCAGAAGAGGACTGCGATATAATTTCATGTAGTCACATTCTCACATGTGAGTGACTTCACTGTGAAATTCAGAGGCCGCTTGTAACAGCAGTGGAAACTCAGAATCTAGGATCTGTTTGCTTCGTCCATGTGACCTTGGGTTTGCTTTCTTTTCAGATTGCGGTGCTTTTGTCCACAAAGGCTGCCGAGAAAGTCTAGCCTCCTGTGCAAAGGTCAAAATGAAGGTAAGACTTCTGGCTAAAAGAAGGCTTAAAATAAAGGGGTTTAAACCAGCAAGATCCTCGGGAGTTGGGAGAGTTGAAGTTGTGGATTTTGTTTATTTTAATCATTTGGTACCGACTTTGAGAGCAAATTATAACTAAAACGTATTTTTTTCTCTTAAGTGATCAATCCTTTTCTTGATTAACACTGGGGAATTAGACTTTCAGAAAATGCTTTTAGAACTTCGTGTTCAATATACATTTCTTGGTGATTTTAATATTTCCATGCTGCTGTTAAAGTGGTTTTCTTCTTAGCTATGTCTGCAGGCCTACCCTGCTGTTCATACACCTGTCTTCCTCCTTCAGGACCGTCAGGGCAGCAGGTGGAAGTCAGGGGCACTGATCTGCTGGTGGGGGTGGGGAGGGGATTATGGTTAGCACCAGCCTGTCTGGTAGCACTTTTCTCCTCGGGTACATAATATAAGTGGCTCTGATCACATGATGTAATAATAGGCAGATACTGTTTTATGGTAGTATCTGCCCTGAGCATGTGTACTATGTAATCATGCTTTTTCAGTGGCCCTTAAGGAAAGAGTGTCGGGGTTGGGCATGGTGGCTCACGCCTGTAATCCCAGCACTTTGGGAGGCCAAGGCGGGCAGATCACGAGGTCAGGAGTTTGAGACCAGCTTGGCCAAAACAGTTGAAACCATGTCACTACTAAAAATACAAAAATTAGCTGGTCTTGGTGGCGGATGCCTGTAATCCCGGCTACTTGGGAGGCTGAAGCAGGAGAATTGCTTGAACCCGGGAGGCAGAGGTTGCAGTGGTCTGTCATTGCGCCACTGCACTCCAGCCTGGGCCACAGAGCTAGACTCTGTCTCAAAAAAAAAAAAAAGTGTGGGTTGGGGGGCATACTTTTTAGGTAGCCTGTGAAGTTTTCAGTGTTCTAGTTACCCATGTCTTTTCATTCCTTGTCAGAGGAGTGCTTTGCAACTATGTCGACACAGATGATTAATGAGCTCTATGCTTCCCCAGTAAAAAAACAGTTATCTAGTGCCATGACCTCAATCTGGATTGTGCATCAGAATCAACGCCAGGGCTTATTGAAAGAAAACTTACTGAGCCACACTCCCAGAATTTCAGATTCTGGGGGAGAGTCTGGGAATTTGCATTTCTAATAAGTTCCCAGATGATGCTGATAGTCCGAGTACCTCACTTTGAGAAGCAATACAACTAGCATCAAAAGGGCAAAAAATAAGATATCCCAGATCTAATTCAGCCCGTGGACATATATTTTGATTGGCTCATGTAGTACTTTTAAAATGTGAGTCAGTGCAACTGCCGATAATTTCAAAGTAATATTTTGTATCACTTTGGATTAAGTTCTCCTGAAAAAATTGGAAGATTTATAGCCCTCAGCCCCCTGATAATTCCCTGTACCCAGCACTCCAATTTTTCCTTTTTTCCACAGTAGTTGTCACCTTCTTAAAGTCTATATTTACCCATCTTTATTTATTATATAGCTTTCTTAAAGTCTGTACCTTCCCCCCACTATAATATAAGCTATAAACTTAACAAGCAGGCTGAGGGTGGGAGTCTGCTTCGTCAGTGGAGCCTGAGCACCTTGCAGGGAGGGAGGGATGGCTGGAGCTGAGTGGAGCTGCCTCCTTTAGACAGGATATGCCAGTTCCAGGCCGCCGCTGCCTTCCTAAACCCCTACATCACCCCACCCCAGCTTGATTCTGCCATTTGTTACCTGCCCTTTCTGACTTTCTGGTTCTGAATGTAAAAATGCACCATATTGATTTGAGTTGGTGATCTCTGGTAACACTCAATTGTTGTGAATGTACTAGCTTATACAGAACAATCATGATAGAGATGCAGCATCTCTCCCATGTAAGAGAATGTAACCTAAAAGGGGGATGTCTCTTTTATTTTATTTTACTTTATTTTATTTTAGAGACAGAGTCTTACTCTGTCACCCGGCTAGAGTGCAGTAGCACAATCTCGGCTCACTACAACCTCCACCTCCTGGGTTCAAGCAATTCTGTCTTAGCCTCCCAAGTAGCTGGGATTACAGGCACCTGCCACCATGCCTGGCTAATTTTTTGTATTTTTAGTTGAGATGGGGTTTGCCATGTTGGCCCTGCTGGTCTTAAACTCCTGACCTCAGGTAATCCACCTGCCTCGGCCTCCCAAAGTGCTGGGATTACAGGCGTGAGCCACCGTGCCCTACCCAGAATTTCATTTTAAATAGGAAGTAACCTAGTTCCTCTAATGATTTCTCTCAGATTAATTGCTTCAATCTATAATTGCTCAAAGTATTTTTGTTATATGCTACAATAAAAGTCTTAACTAAAATTAGCATTTTACCCAATTTAGCACCTTATAAATGTTAGTTACTAGAAATGAAATTAAAAAGTCATAGATGCTGCTCTTAAGGCACCAGCGATCTTCCGGGAAAGATAGACAGGCAGACAGTTACTATAAATGAGAAAGGGGTGCCAGTCACTGCCTTGGGTGAGGAAAGGAAAGAAGCTATGGATAGCTTTGCCAAGGAGGCAATACTTAAATAGTCTTGAAGCAGAACGCCATGCCTCTGAAGGTGAGAAAAGCATTCCAGGCAGGATAGACAGCATCGCGGCATTGGAGTACAGTGTGTTTAGAGGATGGCAGCTGAGGGCAACCGAGGCAGGAACACAGGGAGCTCAGGGCAATGTGAAAGCAGAGCGGGAGAGGAGGCTGAGCTGCTCTCTTCCTGCTCGGCTTCTCAGGGCTTGACAGAAGTGACTTGTCAATGGACTTACTCTCTTTTTTTTTTTAGCAGCCCAGAGGGAACCTTCAGGCACAGGACACATCATCACTGCCCACGGTCATTATGAGAAACAAGCGTAAGTAGCTGAGCCCACCTCACAGAATTCCCTTTCTGGCTTTCTGGTTCTGAATGTAAAAATGCTATTGTAATATTCAGTTATTATTCATAGTCAAGTTAGGAAGACCTCTTTTGTGGTAAGTGAGAGAAGCCTGCTATTTTATCCTGCAGATTCCTTGACCCATAACTTAACAATATGCCATCAAACCCTCTTGGAAGTGTTCTAGAACAGTTTGTTTATTAGCTTAAAGGCAGCACCTTTGCCCTGTGTGTTGAAGCAGGTGACCCCTGTGCATCTCAATTTCCTCTTTAATAATAGTTGAGAATTAAAGACTTGTTTTTAGTGTCTTACAGTCATATGAATCAAATGAGACCTGGCTTGTTAAACTTTTTTTTTTTTTGAGCGGAGTGGCCCAAGGCTGGAGTGCAGTGGCGCAATCTCAGCTCACTGCAGCCTCCGTCTCCTGGGTTCTAGCAGTTCTCTGCCTCAGCCCCCTGAGTAGCTGGGGTTACAGACAGACACCACCATGCCCAGCTAATTTTTGTGTTTTTAGTAGAGACAGGGTTTCTCCATGTTGGCCAGGCTGGTCTCAAACTCCTGACCTCGTGATCTGCCTGCCACAGCCTCCCAAAGTGCTGGGATTACAGGCATAAGCCACCGTGCCCAGCCTAAACTTCTTTATAAACTGAGAAGTGACAGAAAATGCTTCCTTTTTTCTTTTTTAAGGACCTCAAGTGTTAGTCAGAATTGAGTAAATCACAGTCATTCATTCACATCAAACTATTTTCACCAGTGCATGCAAGACTCCACTTTGGTTTCACTGATATTTTTCCCTTTTCATTCTGCATTCCCTGTCTCATTCCCCCTGTGGTATATTTAATGTATGTCCTTCTAATCTGCCATATCTTTAGACATATGTATACTTTGGAAAAAAAAATTATTTTGTTTGTTTAAATTAGATAATATGACTTATGCTTATATATTCTACGTTTTTTTTTCCACTCAGTATCTATCATTTCGAGATATGCATGTTATTGTACGCTGTTGTTTCAGACTATGGCATAGTATTCTTTAGTAAGCATATTTCGAATTTTAGTTATTAGTTCCCCTGGAGACAGAATACAGGTATTGATCGACTTACCACCTATGCAACTTACGACCATTCGACTTTACAACCACAATAGCTAGCCACGACTGCTCCGCATCTGGCAGCGCAAACGTTGCCCAGCTGGGCGTACGACAGTGCGGACCAGCTTCTGGCAGCACTACCATGTGCACCATTTCAACTGTACATATAGCCTACTCAACTTACGACCAAATCGTGTTATGACCGGTCCGTGGTCCCGACCGTGGTCATAAGTCGAACACTAGCTGTATTTAAATTGCTTCCAGCTACTACCATAAATAATGCAGTGATTAGTATCTTCTTAGCTGGCTCATGGGAGTCTCTGTGAGACTTTCCCCAAACGATGTTCTTGAAAATGAGCTTTTAGAAGTAGAGATTCTTGGGCCCCACCCTGATCTGTGAATCACAAACTGTGGGATGGGGCCAGCATTCTGTGTTTTTTTGTGGTATGTGGGAGTGTGTTTAATAGAGACGATGTCTTGCTTTGTTACCCAGGCTGGAGTGCAGTGATGCAGTCATAGCTCACTGGAACCTCAAACTCCTGGGCTCAAGAGATCCTCTCGCCTCAGCCTCCTGAGTGGCTGTCACTCCAGGTGTATGCCACCGTACCTAGCTGATTCTTAAATTTTTTTGTAGCAGCAAGGTCTCACTATGTTGCCCAGGCTGGTCTCAAACTCCTGACCTCAAGTAGTCCTCCTGACTTGGCCTCCCAAAATGCTGAGATAACAGGCATGAGCCACTGCACCCAGCCCAGTCTGTGTTTTAATATATCTCCAGATGATTCTGATGCCCACTCCAGCTTGAAAACCACTGCTTTATGCCGAATTTCTCTGAGTACTTTCAGATAGCTCCTGAATGGCTGTACTAGTCTATATACCCACAAGAGTGTGAATTCCCTTTAGACCTATTTAATCCATTTATAATCCATCTTTACATATAGATGCCTAAAGAGGAGCTTCTCCAGGTTGATACCCACTTCAGTCTGTGATCCCACCCATTCCACATATTTTTTATGTGTCTAACTTCCTTAAATTTTTTTCCTGTGACATTATCTGTTGTTTCAGAAGTCTGATTTCTTTCTTACTTTCATGTCTTTCTTAGAAAAAATGCCTATTATGTGCAAGGATCATGGGTATTACCTTTGACCCTCAAAAATACTTTTTTTTTTTTGAGACTAAATCTCACTCTGTCACCCAGGCTGGAGTGCAGTGGTGCTATCTCTTCTGTAACGTCCACCTCCTGGGATCCAGCAGTTCTTCTGCCTCAGCCTCCCCAAGTAGCTAGGATTACATATGCCTGCCACCACGCCCAGCTAAGTAGAGATGGGGTTTCACCATGTTGCCCAGGCCAGTCTTGAAGTTTCAACCTCAAGCGATCTGCCTGCCTTGGCCTCCCAAACTTCTGGGATTATAGGCATGAGTCACTGCACCCGGCCCTCTCACACATATCCTTATTTCTGTTGTACTCCACTGAGGCAACATAGTGGTGTGGAGTACAGATTGTGAATTTAAATTGTAAGGATTCAAGTCTGACACCACTACTTAATAGCTGTGTAACTGTGGACATTACCAAACCTCTCTCTGCCTCGTTTTCTGCCTCTGTAAAAGGGGGATGATGATAGTATCATAGGGTGGTAGTCAGGTTTAAATCAGATCATACCTGTAAAGTACTTAGTAGGCGCTCCTTAAGTGTTAGCTTCCACTGCTGTCATCATCACAAGTAAGGAAACAGCGATACTGAGTCACTTACTTGGGAGAGCTGTTATTTTCTTCACCCTCTGCAGTCAATTAATGCATTTTGTATGCTATGTGTTTTATATACTGTATTCTTACAGTAAAGTAAGCAAAAAAAAATGTATTTTAAAAATTAAAAGGAAGAGAAAATATGTTTCCTATTTGTTTAAGTGGACGTAGATAATCATAAAGGTCTTCATCCTTGTCATTTTCACATTGAGTAGACCAAGAAGGTGGAAGAGGAAGAAGAGAGGGGTAGGTCTTGCTGTCTCAGGTGGCAGAGACAGAAGAACTTCCACATCTAAGGGGATCTGTGTAGTTCAAACCCATGTTGTTCAAGGGTCATCTGTAGTTATAGATGTTAAACAAGTGTTAAATTTTCCTCATCTATAAATTAGTTTTCCTCATCTGTGCTCTCTAGCAGTGAGCAGAAGAATCATTTGAGCCCGTAAGATACATAGACTCTTGGGTTCCACCCCTAGAGGACGAGGAGGGCTGAGATTTCATGTCTAACAGGCACTCCAGAGGTTTTCATGATGAACAATCCTAAAGAACGCTCCTCCCAGTTATCTCTAAGGTTCCTTTTACCCTTAAAATTCTTTCAATCTTATTTGAGCTTAAATATTAAAATACATAAAACTTCCACAGGATTGTTTATCCCCATTGCCTATCCCACCCCAGAGGTAACCACTCTTCTTAGTTTATTCATTTATTTTCCTGGAGTTCCCTTGTTAAAGTAAATACAACTTGGATTCTTTTTCTTTCTTTCGAACATGAGTGATAGCCTGTCATATACTTTGTTCTGCACTTTGATTTTCCGCCCCTTAATAGATCTTGGAGATAGATCCATCTGTGTCAGTACTTGGAAAGTGTCCTCATTTTTTTTAAGTGGCATTGTATTCTTGTATGTGGTGCACTATAACTTATTAACCAGTCTTCTTGTGATACTCGTGTCATTTCCAGTCTTTTGCTTTAATCAGTGGTGTTGCATTGAATAATATTGGACATACATCATTTCATGAATATACAGGTATATCTTGTAAAATAAACATAGCCTAAAAGTGAAATTGCTGGATCGAAGAATAGAGGCATTTACAATGTCAATAGTTATCACCAAACTATCCTCCGTGGAGTTTTTATACCAACTTAGAGTTCCAAGGCAAATCTACTGTAAAGCGCCTTACTTCTGTTGGGCTTTTGTCAGATGGGTCAGTACTACGTGGGAATGGATGGATGATGCTTCAGTTAGTGTCCTCCCTTTGCAGCCTCACAGCCCAAGGAGCGTCCTCGGTCCGCAGTCCTCCTGGTGGATGAAACCACTTCCACCCAGATATTTGCTAATAGACGGTCCCAGCAGAGTGTCTCGCTCTCCAAAAGTGTCTCCATACAGAACATTACTGGGTAAGTAGAGATATTTAAAGATAGCACAGTTGGCATCTAGGTGACAAGAGCATAATAATCACATCATTTGACAAAAAGCCTTTTTTTTTTTTTTTTTTTTTTAAAGAAATCTGTAAAGTCGTGATGAGTGGTGCAGACAAGGCTGATGTGGATTACGTTTTTGATGCACGTCATGACAGTCATTCTGTCACAAGGCTCTCCTTTAAATACCGTTAGCAGGCTGGTTGCTCGAGGCTTTTGTATGTCATCAGCCCTAGTTGTGAAGAATCTGAGTTCTGAAAAGATTATTTTTTAGATCAAAATAAGTAGGAATAGGAAAAAGAATGATTTAATTCAGAATTTTTGGTTGCAGCCACTTACATTTTCAGATGTTATGCTTTTCTGTTGATCATATAAACCTGGTTGTTTTGTTTCTTCTTACGTCTCTTTTACATCGTGGCCTCTTAACACTTAAGTCAGTTTTATGAAGGCGAATGCTGAGCTAGTTATGACTGTTAGATTCCCACTCACTGGTTTGCACTGAGTTTCTTTTCTGGTCTCCTGCAGAGGTGTCGGCTGTCAAGTGGTTAGCAAGGGGCTGATGATGATGTTGCTGACTATTTTGGTTAAGGTGCCTGCCTTCCCATCAGCTGAATAAGCCATTTCAAATGTAGAACTCAGTCTCTCTATAACCTAGCTTGGGGCAAAATTCCTAACTAAAGAATGCAGAAATCTCCTTCTGTTTGTATTTCCTAACCTCTGTGCTGGCTAATGTTTTTTTTCTCCTTTAAAAAGTTTCAGGTTGTTTTTGTTTTGTTTTGTCTTCGTATTCTCATTATTTCCAAAAGTGTGCTTATCAAAGTTACAGCTTTACTAAAGTTTCTTGTAGTAACTTTCAAAAGTTGGTCTTTAAAGTGTTCCTGCTTTTGTGTCTACTCAGACACCAATTGGGTGCCTGTGTGCTAGCTAGTGAGTTGGGATTGAGAAAGTCTGAAAATATAGTTGATGATAAGTGCTAGGTCTGTAGTTACTTAAAGAACAGGAAAAAAAGTACACTGGGTAGGCAGTAAGTTTTGTTTTGTTTTGTTTTGTTTTAAAGAGACGGTTTTACCATGTTGGTCAGGCTGGTCTTGAACTCCCGACCTCAGGTGATCCGCCCGCCTTGGCCTCCAAAGTGCTTGGATTACAGGCGTGAGCCACCACGCCCAGGCAGCAATAAGTTTTAAACAGAAAGTTTCTTACATAACTCGTACGTGATTTGAGGGAAGAAAGTTCTCCTTGCTTCTTACCACTCTTTAAAAAGGCTCAAGAAGTCCTCACAGTTTTGAGTCTACAGTGATACTAAATGCTTCCAGCCTTTACTACCAGGCAGTGTGCGTGTTGCTGTGGCCCCGACATAAGCAGCTTGTCTTCAATCACTGTAGTGCTTCCAGCCAGCTGTCGTTCTAGAGTCTTCAGGTGCTCATTTAAGAATGCAAGCCGTGGGTTATCAGAGTGTATTTGACAGGCTGTACTTTCTTTTGCCCCCAGAGTTGGCAATGATGAGAACATGTCAAACACGTGGAAATTCCTGTCTCATTCAACAGACTCACTAAATAAAATCAGCAAGGTCAATGAATCAACAGAATCACTTACTGATGAGGGTAAGAGGAAGTTATGGCTTACATTTTATGCCTCTGTAGGGACTGTGTGTGCCGTGACCTAGACTGTAAGTCTTAATGGAGTGATAGTGCCTCCCTCTTCTGTATCCTGTGAAGATCCTCTAAATTCTGTAAAGCGTCCAGTGCTTTGTAATGACTGGGTAATCTGACTTAGCCAGTTGTTAGCTGTCAAGTGAAGGATGTCATTTATTTCAGTGTGGGCATACTCTTTAGTGGAAATCTTTTTCTTCCCTTAGACTTTTGTACATGTACAGTTCTAGCTCTCAGAGCTATTGTAAGCCTGCTCTCTTAAATACGAAAAGGTACTAGGCCCCTTCCAATTCTTCATGTAGATAGGAGTCATGTTTTAGTCATGTATGATTTTTATGTGATGTTTGTTACTCTTAACCAAAGTCTTGAATCTAGTCTGTCACTCCTGAACAGGACATTGATACTTTTCTGGTACTGGAATATGTTCTCTGTTATATCCCCTATATTCATGTGTCTTATGAAATCGACTGTCATCTTGAGGCAAGTCCAACATAAGCTTATTCTACAGGTCACAAACCCAAGATTCTAATAGTGATTTTTTGCTATATTGAGGAGTAGGTACAGACATGAATGAAGGACAACTACTGGGAGACTTTGAGATGGACTCCAAACAGCTGGAAGCAGAGTCTTGGAGTCGGATAATAGACAGCAAGTTTCTAAAACAGCAGAAGAAAGATGTGGTCAAACGGCAAGAAGTGATTTATGGTGAGATTCTTCATTTTGCTCTGTTTATATTTGATTTGCATTGTCCAGCATTTATAAAGTGGTAATTTGTTGGGCTATAGAGAATCAGTTTTTTAGTATGTGGCTTCTTGAAAAGATTTCCTTTGAAAACTTTAAGGCACAGAGACATAGTCCTGTTTGTATCCTATCTCCTTTTTGCCCCATTATTTTTTCCCATTTCTACTGAATGTTATACTTACATATGAGTGCTTATTTATACAGCAGTCCTAGAAAGAGATATCTCAGTTTTGTTCCTTACCTACGCTAAAAACTAAACACAAGTCGTTTCTGAGAACCGGGTATACAGGCATTTATGACAGGTGCTAAATCCAGTGAAGGCCTCTTTGGAAATCATTATTTAAGACTGATGGAATCTAGTGTACCTATTATCAGAAAATAGGACACATGAAAAATAGAGGAATAAGATGAAAACATGTGACCAGGCGCAGCGACCCATAACTGTAATCCCAACACTTTAGGATGCTGAGGCGGGTGGAAAACTTGAGCCCAGAGTTCAAGACCAGCCTGGGAACATAGTAAAACCCTGTTTCTACAAAAATGCAAAAATCAGCCAGGCGTGATGCCACTTACCTGCAGCCCCAGGTACTCAGGAAGTTGAAGCGAAAAGACTGCTTGAGCCCAGGAAGTCAAGGCTGCAGTGAGCTGTGACCACATCACTGCACTTCAGCCTGGGTGACAGAGCAAGACCCTGTCTCAAAAAGAAAAACAACAACAAAAAAGATGAGAACACTTTTAGGGGAAAGATAGTGACTCAATTTTAAGGTTCAAATTGGGCTCTAAATTAGCTTTGGGACTGCAGCAGATGATCTTTGAGGGAGAATCCTTATAAAAAAGTGTTCCTGACCCTTGATCTGTTTCCTCCTTTTAGAGTTGATGCAGACAGAGTTACATCACGTTCGCACTCTCAAGATCATGAGTGACGTGTACAGCCGTGGGATGATGACAGATCTGCTTTTTGAGCAGCAGATGGTAGAAAAGCTGTTCCCCTGTTTGGATGAGCTGATCAGTATCCATAGCCAATTCTTTCAGAGGATTCTGGAGCGGAAGAAGGAGTCTCTGGTGGATAAAAGTGAAAAGAACTTTCTCATCAAGAGGATAGGGGATGTGCTTGTAAATCAGGTGAGAATGGGAGGATCTCAGGTTCTTTTTATGTACACTGGGAAAAAGGGAAGCTTGGGGAATCCATAGCCATGCATTCGCATCTTGTTTCTACCATTTATTATTTGTGTAAGCTCAGGGAAGTTATTTATCTTGAGCCTTGATTTCCTTTTCTGTAAAATGCAGACAGTAGGGTTTCTCTCCTAATGTTATTTTAGAAAGTTAAAGGGAGTGTATATATAAAGTACCTAATGCATATGATAGATGCACAGTAAAACTTAGTTTTTCTTCCTCAGAGTCTGTGCCATCATCAGAAACAATATAGCTTAAGAAACCAACAAATACGGCTGGACGTGGTGGTTCATGTCTGTAATCCCAGCACTTTGGGAGGCCAAGGCGGGCAGATCACCTGAGGTTAGGAGTTCAAGACCAGCCTGGCCAACATGATGAAACCCCATCTCTACTAAAAATAATCAAAATTTAGATGCATGTCATTACACCTGCATGCCAGGTACAGGTACCTGTAGTCTCAGAGGCTTGGGAGGCTGAGGCACAAGAATCGCTTGAACCTGGGAGGCAGAAGTTGCAGTAAGCTGAGATCGGGCCACTGCACTCCAGCCCGGGAAACAGAGTCACTCTATCTCAAAAAATTTGGGGCTGGGCACAGTGGCTCACACCTGTAATCCCAACACTTTGGGAGGCCAAAGTGGGTGGATTGATTGAAGCCAGGTGTTCAAGACCAGCCTGGGCAACATAGCAAGACCTCCCTCTACAAAAAAAAAAAAAAAAAAATGAGCCAAATGTGGTAGTATACACTTGTGGTCCCCACTACTCGGGAGCCTGAGGTGGGAAGATCGCTTGACTCTAAGAGTTCAAAGTTGCAGCAAGCCATGGTGATTGTGCCACTGCTGTCCAGCCTGGGCCAGGGAATTAGATCCCAAATCAAAATGTGTGTGTGTGTGTGTGTGTGTGTGTGTGTGTGTGTGTGTGTGTATAATTTATACAAATACATGTGTGTGTATGTGTGTGTGTGTGTATATATAGTTTATATAAATACACGTGTGTTAGACATCTTCAACTTTCCCCTCTGCCTCAAATCAGAAAGATCTCATGTATCTAAAACCTAGCTGAAGCGCAGAAAATTGAATAATTGTCTGTAAAATACTTAATAAAACATGTATTATTAATAGATTTATCAAGGGGTGGTATGGTTTTAGTCATTCTCCAAAAAAATTAAGCTAAAAGGTACTTTGGTGCTTATGGATGTGATTGTCATAGACAGACTTTCATGTTTCTTTTTAAAATATTCTTCTTGAAAACACATTGCCAGTATAACCTTTCCAGGCAGAGGTGTATAACATGTACATCTGACTAGACCTTTTTCAAAGATGTAGATTCCCCAAAGATTTTGGGCAAATATCTGCTGCTGTGTAGAAACAGAGGCTTAATTGCGGGAACAGTAGTCTGAGAATTGTATATGTTGTCTTTCCTTTGTATTCTTGAGCCCATACCCCTCACTTCATTAATTTATTAGCACATTCACACATTCATTTTTCAGGTATTTACTGAGCATCTATTAAATGCCAGGTGGAACTACAAAGGTAGATATGGCTTAGGCCTCTGCCTCAGGGAACCCCTATTCTAGGAGTAAAAGTAGGCATGTTATGAAATAAATGCAAATGCAGTGTGAAATGCTTGAACACAGGTATCTGCAACAGAGCTCAAAAGGGAGACCTACAAATGATGGCCTTTCCTCCTGAAACATCCCTCAGCATTTCCATTTCTCTCTTTCTGCCCCTCTTCTCTGTTTTCATGTACCTTTGACTTAGACTTTATCTAACTTAGTGTTTCATCAAACTTTGACTTGTATTACCATTTAAACCTCCTTGTACTTACATACAACCCCTGGTAAGATCTGTGGTGCCAGAATTCAGTTTAACCCGTAGTGTCCATTTGCTGGTTCTGCGTGCCAGTGCTCGGATCACCGTCTGGGGCGTTTGTTTTGTCATATGAGCAGATAACTTACTGTCTGTCTGCCTCAGCTCCTCCGCTGGTTAATGGTGAAGGGAAAAGCTACCCTGATCCTTCTTTCCATTTTTTTGGTAAAGATCAATTTGTGTTGCCTCTGGAGGTTTTTAGGGGAAATGGAAATCAATGGCTTAGCATGTTTTTTATGAACTGCATACAGAAATTCATTGATTTACTACAAAGTGAACATACCTTGATATGAACCATTGAGATTGCACACATTTGGGAATGATTGAAGGGCCTTGTAGAACTATTAGGACTGCTGGCCCAAAGTAAGCAGTACAAACAGATCCCTAGGTAATGATGGCTGTTTATGATGTCTGACTTACCGAGATCAGGTATGTAAAACTGCCTCATGAAAAACCCCTAGTGAATCTCATTATTTTATTACTCTGTTTATGACAAATAGAACTTAGAATACATTTTGTATTTCCTGTGTGCACAGTACATAAAATTTCTTAATTTTTTTGTTTTTCAAATCTGTATAGCAGCTTTATTGGGATTTCAGCCATATGCCATATAGTCTACCCATTTAAAGTTTAACCTCTTGAGTAACTGCCAGACTGCTTTGCAAAGCTGCTGCACCATTTCACTTTTTTGGGAGAAGTTAAGAGGAAGCACTCTTGACTTTCACATATAGACTGGAAACATTTTACAAAACGGTTTTATGAGTTTGGCCCCCCATGACATAGCTTCTGTTCTCTTTTCTTTGCAGTTTTCAACTGTGAATGCAGAACGTTTAAAGAAGACATACGGCAAGTTTTGTGGGCAACATAACCAGTCTGTAAACTACTTCAAAGACCTTTATACCAAGGATAAGCGTTTTCAGGCCTTTGTAAAGGTATTGATATGAAACATGAAAATCCCCATCGTCGTCAACAGCACTGTGTGCCTGTCGGCTTTTACTAGAGAGGCTTTTTCATGTGATTCCTGATGTCTGTGTACTCTCTTGCAGAAGAAGATGAGCAGTTCAGTTGTAAGGAGGCTTGGAATTCCAGAGTGCATATTGCTTGTAACTCAGCGGATTACCAAGTACCCGGTTTTATTCCAAAGAATATTACAGTGTACCAAAGGTGAGTTTCCCTTTCTAGCTCAGTCTTGTATGGCAATGGACTGTTTGCTCTGTGGCCAGTAGCACTGGAGGCCCCATGGAAGAGTTATTTCATGCTGTAGTAGGTCTAAAAGAGACCCTGTGTTTTATCTAGAAAATAATTTTCTTGAATGAAAATTTGGACTGTTATGTTACCAGACTTAGGGTAGATGATAGCAAGAGGAAAAGGGACCCCATTGATTCCATCTGAAGTTCAGTGACCTGAACACTCTTCCCTTATCACTAGGCTGGGAGATAATTTCCACCAGTTCTTCCCAGAAGCACTAGAATTGCTGCTGTTTTTTGCTTAATCAGTAATTACTGGTTTCTCTCTCTCGGCTAATTCTGTTCTAAGCAGTTATATTGAAGATTACAAGGCAGTACATTAAAGATTAAGTAAAACAAAGATATAAATAAAAACTTGGTTGCTCTTCCTGCTACTACTCTCCTCCTAGAAGTCTTTAGTTCCTTTATTTTTAGAACACAGCATATGATTGCATATTATTTATATGATTGAAAACTTCTGACATCTTTTAGAATCAAACTTATGACAGCAAGAGGGTTAGGCACATGACTTCTGCCATGCTGGCTCCCCTCTGATCGTATAACCACAAAGGGAAAAGATGATGTGGAGTGAGAAGTCAAGATTCCCACCCTCTGCCTTGGTCCAAAAGAGCCATAAAAAACAGAATTATTCTTTCCTTTCAAGACGATGAAGTGGAGCAGGAAGATCTAGCACAGTCCTTGAGCCTGGTGAAGGAGGTGATTGGAGCTGTAGACAGTAAAGTGGCAAGTTATGAAAAGAAAGTGCGTCTCAATGAGATCTATACAAAGACAGATAGTAAGTCGATCATGAGGATGAAGAGTGGACAGATGTTTGCCAAGGAAGATTTGAAACGGAAGAAGCTCGTACGTGATGGGAGTGTGTTTCTGAAGAGCACAGCAGGAAGGTTGAAAGGTACGGCTTGGCTCTTTTGTCTTAGTGTGTGCCCAGGTACAACAGGCAAAATCCAAGTGTTTTTGTTGGAAATTCACTACCAGATTTTTTGCTAGAGAGCCCATCTCCAGATACCGCCCAAGAGCAACAAGCATTTAATTCTTCGTAGTCTTACATCAAAAATGTTTTGTGATGGCTTACAAAATCATAGAAAATATAGTAAGATGACAAAGAAATGATAGAGTCAGGGAAAATGGAAAATAAGATTTAAAAAAAAAAAAGGAAAGGATAAGATGGGTGCACATGTGCAAGCGGTCAAGGAAGGTGTATTCCCCTGCAAGAGATGGACAGCCAGGTTCGAATTGGGGTCTGTGGCAAAACTCACTAGGAGGGAGACGCAGTCCATGACAGTTGCACAGGATCTGTGAGTTCAAAACACATCACTTGTTCACAAGAGATGTTAGAGGAATTTGCAGCTCCTGACACCTTACAGAAGGGTAAGTTTAACGCATATCAGTTAGATTTATTCTTATACTTTATGATGGTCTTATATCTTTAAACCAAAAGGAATCATAAAAGATGCCCATTTGCCATTTAGTTTTAATTTTTACTTTTCAAGTGGTCAGCTTTATCAAGTTAGTGAAGTTATGAGACTTGTTTTCTAGTTTATCTTTGCATTGGATTTTTTTGTTTGTTTTCATCAAACCGATACTCCACGGGCCTATATGTTACACCAATAGCCTTGAGTTATACCCACCCCTTCGCCCTGGCCTCAGTAAGCTGAGGATGTAGAAGCAGGCTGGCATGGTGCTGTCAGCCTCCCTGGTGTAGAAAAGGTGGAGGAAATGTGTGCTGCTTTCGTTTCTGAGGTGTAAGTGATGATGTAGGTAACCGCTGTCAGCGATACCCGTGCTTAGGACAAGTAGTAAAGAAGTTCCAGGAGATCAGCTGGTTCCAACAATGAATAAAGCAGGACAGCCTGCTTAGAAGTTGGAATCAAAATGAAGAGCCTTGGAAAGAGGTACCTGCTCCACAGTGGCAAGTGCTGGAATGGAGGAGAAAGCAAGAGGAATAGCAGTAGGGACAAGTCTTGAAGGATGATAAGGAGGGTACTTGGTACATAAGGAGAAAGTGTTCCCCACAGTAAGGAAGAAAAAGTAGAAGCACAGAGTGGAAAGGATGTGGCACGTCCAGGGAAGAGTGGATGCCCGGGACTCACAGGGAGCTGAGTGGATGACGGGGAGTGATGGGAAATCAGCCCGAAGAATGGGGAGGGGCAAGGTTGTGATGAGGTGCATTCTCCAGACTGAGGCCTTAACAGTTGATACTATTGATGAGGGAACCGGGGCATAGAATGGGTTCAAAAAGAAGAATAACAAGCAGGAAAAGGAAAAGTGAGTTGGTTTTTCAGTATAATGACTAGGGGCAGTTCAGAGTCCAGAGAGACTGGTGACAGATAAATCAGGAGGTGATGCAGTGCTTTGGGAAGAGCTCATCTGGGCCTGCATGCACAGAAGGCATGAAAAAGAAGGGCAGAAAAGATTGAGAGAAAGATGCCTCCTTTCCTGCCACCAACTGGCTGTGTATTTCATGGTTCTGTGATGAACTGGGCTTCTTCCCTCCAGTCCTAATGTTCTGTGATATTCTGAGAGCCCTAGATCTCTTTGAGACTTGTAAGCAGGCTGGCAGTTCAGAAATACCTGCCCTTTCTTGTAAGGGCCTGAATTTCCTAAAGCTGCTGCTGCCTGGAGCCAGCACTTTATTCTTTCCTTTGCCTAGCAATTTATTTTTTCCCAAAATAAAAACTTATAGATTCCAGCTGCTAGAATAAAGTTGTGTTCACGCCAGTGGCAGAATGACAGATTTCTGGCCTTGAATGTCTCCAGTAGAGATACGAGTTGGTGTTTAGTCATTTTCACCTCCAAGTGAACTCATGCCAAGAACAGCCAGTACTATGTTGGGTACTCTCTGAAAGAGGTGGGATTGTTTTTCTTTGATCCACTGACACTGATCATATAAACTTAAAGATTCAATGAAGTTAAAAAATTGTCTTGCTTTTTTTTTTTTTATTTGGAGGGGGAGAGGGTGCAAGCATCTGAATTATTTTTAAAAGTAAGCTTAGAAACAAAAAACCTTTTTCATAACTGATGGCAGTACACAGAAAATTACAGCTTAGCCTGAAAAATTAGACCTCTCTAGGAATCAGATGTCCTTCCTTCTGTTTTCTTGATAGCTTTGCAATGAATTCCACAGAAAAGGGATTCCAGTTGTGGCAGAGGTTAAAGAAAAGGTGAGGAGTGGACTGCATAAATGAGTTCCATCCTTTCCCAGGGATTTGTCGGCTTCACTTTCCACAGTGACGATGTTACATAGGGGCCAGCCTGCTAGCTCGAGGTAGATCCACTGCAGAGATGTCAAACCATCCTTAAGAGAAAAGGGGAAAATGTTACTTCCTACCCCTAGAGGATTAGTCAGAGCAAGAGTTTAAGTTGACTGTAGCATATGGGAGCTGAGGAAAGAGCCCTATATTCACATGTGCCTGTATGACTGGAATGCATCCGTGTGGCCACTCTTGGTCTTTTGCGAGTGTGGAAGACGTCTTTTCATTAGACTTATATATTGCTACACTTTATCTTTGGGCAGCGTTGCTGTCTCCTGCCTCACACCTTTCCGATTACTGTAATCAAAAGTTGAAAAATACTGCAACCTGAGGATTTTATGGAGTATGCTGCTATCTGTTGCTATTTAACACCTGTAGAAGTCCAGCTTTTCAGCTTTATTCTTAAAAGTATTTTAGTCTTAAAATCTTGGCCTGTGGTGTATTTCTAGGACTGAGAACTTAAACTTTCCCAAAACAAGGCTTTGGTGATAAATCTCATTTTAAAATGCCTCTAAAAATCTGGTGACCAGATCTAATTCCTGGAGAACTGTGAAACTGTTGCTTTGGAGTATTGTGGTCTCAGATCAGAGTTTGCCCTTTTGGGGGTGTGTGTGTTGCTGAAACACCCGTCAATAAAAACCCCTCTGACTGTGGGTTACTATCAAGCAGTCATCGTTCTATCTTCCCTTCTCCCATTTCCGTTTTCCAGAGGTTCAAGCAGTTCTCCTCACTGACATTTTAGTTTTCCTTCAAGAAAAAGACCAGAAGTACATCTTTGCATCATTGGTAAGCTGAATTGTTATTTTTGTAATAGTATTCTCAGCAGTGAGGTTAGTTTTGGAATGTAAGCACTATATTATTGCTCTCCTTGCACCCCCCCTTAAAATTAAATGGATCAGGACAAATTCCTCTGAGTAATTTCCCACATGCCCTCACAATTTTCTGGCATCCCATTCTCCCCAAAAAGTATTACTCTGTTTCACCACAGTCTTTTTTAGTGTCTTGGACGTGTGACTATCTGACCTATGAAGAGAGCTGTCCCTGGAGTATTTCTCACATTTGAGCCCATAAATGGTGCTAATGTATGATACTGCTATCTGAATTCTTTGGGGAACCTGGAAAGATTCATCATGTAGAAAACATGACTGGAAGCTTTAGAGCCATAAATTACTATTTCCCTTTTGAAAATCTTTTTTTGTTAAAAATCTGAATGAAATAAGGAGGTATTTCTTTTTATCCTAAAGCTGCCGTTATTTTTCAGACTGTGTGCTTATATTATAATAGCATCTCGTCTTACCTTAGATTGAAGTTGTCCTTAAGAGTTAGAATATTGTATATGTATCTCATATTTGCCCTCTTCCCTTTTTCCAGGACCAGAAGTCAACAGTGATCTCTTTAAAGAAGCTGATTGTGAGAGAAGTGGCACACGAGGAGAAAGGTTTATTCCTGATCAGCATGGGGATGAAAGATCCAGAGATGGTGGAAGTCCATGCCAGCTCCAAAGAGGAACGAAACAGCTGGATTCAGATCATTCAAGACACAATCAACACGCTGTAAGTTAACCGCCAGGCCCCACCCTTCCCAGCCTCCTGACGTCTCTGTGTGATTTCATAATAGGCTGGAGTGTGACTAGAGTAAGTGACATCATAGGAACTTTTTGTTCTGTCTTGTTTGGGTTGTTTTAGGAACAGAGATGAAGATGAAGGAATTCCTAGTGAGAATGAGGAAGAAAAGAAAATGTTGGACACCAAAGCCCGAGAATTAAAAGGTGAGGCACTGGGAGTAGTTGGAGACGCTTGTCTGGAATGTCTGCAGTTGCTGAAGAGTGCTGGTGGATTTTAGAGGTACGGGCTTGCCCTCAGTTCGAAAGCCGCCCCAGCAGCCACGTGAAAGCAGAGAAATGAAAAGCTGTTTAACAAAAGAGAAGCAAAGTCCAGGCTGACATGGGTCCTGGTAAAGAATGGCTCTAAGGGTGTGTCCAATACCGGATCAAGAGAATATTGATTCTCTTGACTAAGGATCAGTGTTCTTGAACCTCATGACATTATCTGTACTTTGTCATAGGAGAATTTGCCAGAATTTATAGTCACATCTAAGATTAAAACAAGGAAAGAAAGGTATTTGGGGAAAAGGATTCTCTCGTTAATCTGATTTAATCCTCCTGCCAGTCCCTAGCGTTATCACTTACCCACATATTCACAAATGAGTTGCGAGGTGAAGTTTTGGGAGAAGGGTACTTATTGATCTATGTTTCATCTCTGTTTATTGAGCACTAATTGTTTTATGTAGTCTTGTCAGTATCCCTACAATACAGGCATTCTAATCCCCATTGTGCAGATGAGACCCATAAAGGACAAGCAACCCAGGGTTACCTGTGTAGTTAGTGGCTAAGCCAAGATTCTGTTCCCTGTCTTAGCGAAGCCTGGTGTTCTTTGCCAGTGGCTTATCGAATGTTTCAAAGTAAAGACTGCTGAGGGTAGAAAGAAGGCTTAGAGTTAGATAAATGTAAGCACCTAAGGAGTTTGGTTAGGCCTTAAGTCATATAAATGATAGCATTCTATCTCACTGAAGGAGAAGAAGTTAAAAATATGGACAGATTGAGTCCAGAGTCAGAGTTACAGCAAATGTGTTGGCCCATGATGAGGATGATGAGTATAAAAGCCTTCCTGCTTTAAGTAGGTGGCCAGGCATGCTGCTAAGTACACAGAGGCAAAGATGCCTTAAAACGACCCTTTGTCCTTGAAAAGCTCACACTCTAGCAAGGGAGACATACATGAGTGATGGGCCACAAAATGGTTTATTAGACCACAGACAACATTCAGCATGTGTGGGATCTGCTCATCCTGCCTCCGGTAAGTCTTAGGAACAGGGAAGCCGTTGCATGAGCTACATCTGAAAAAAGCGATCTCAGCCCACAAGAGTAGTTATGTGCAAAGGTGAAAAAGGACTTGACGTGTCTGCCAAGGAATGACAGGTTTGGTATGTCTGGAGGGTCAGGGCCGAGGGATGGGAGGTTAAGCTGGGAAAGCACCAGGTACTAAAAGGCAACAAGGAAATGATGTAACTTAAAAAAAAAAAGATTTCTTTAACATGCTGAAGCCAGTTAGGAGAGTTGCTAGAGGGAATGGGAAGCCACTGGAAGTAGAAAGACCGTTTGGAAGACTCTTAGGCTAGGCCAAGTGACAGTGAGCTGGAGAGGGAACAGATGTAAGGTTACTAAAATCTGGTCCTTTGGGGCCGACTGTGGTGGCTCACACCTGCAATCCTAGCACTTTGGGAGGCTGAGGCCGGTGGATCACCTGAGGTCAGGAGTTGAAGACCAGTATAGCCAACATGGTGAAACCCCATCTCTACTAAAATACAAAAATTAGCCGGGTATGATGGCGGGTGCCTGTAATCACAGCTACTTGGGAGGCTGAGACGGGAGAATCGCTTGAGGTTTCAGTGAGCCAAGGTCGCACCGCTGCACTCCAGCCTGGGCGGCTGAGCAAGACTCCGTCTCAAAAAGTAAAATAAAAATCTGGTCAGTTTGATGATGGGCCAGAGCGAGGAGACAGAATCTCTCATAGGTTTCCAAATCAGGTGACCTAGAAGATGAAGAGTCGTTGACTGGGAAGAGACTCCACACTAAAGGGAGGAGGTGTGGTAGGCTGGAGAAAAGATTGGTTTTCACATGCTGGGAACAAGGCATCTCGGTGGAGGTGGCCATTTGGGCCCCATGGTCTACTGCTAAGAAAGAGGGGAGGATTTTTTATGGATTTTTTGTTTATTATCAGCATATAGAAGATAATTGAAGCCATGGGGATGAATGAGATCAAGAGGAAAATGGGTAAGGTAAAGAAGACAGCTCAGACCAGGCACGGTGGTTCACACCTGTAATCCAACCACTTGGGGAGGCCGAGGTGGGCAGATCACCTGAAATTGGGAGTTTGAGACCAGCCTGGCCACCATGGAGAAACCTTACCTCTACTAAAAATGCCAGATTAGCTCGGCATAGTGGCACGCGTCTATAATCCCAGCTACTTGGGAGGGTGAGGCAGGCGAATTGCTTGAACCAGGGAGGTGGAGGTTGGTGATGAGTCGAGATCACGCCATTGCACTCTAGCCTGGGCAACAAGAGCAAAACTCCGTCTCAAGAAAAAGAAAAAATTTAAGATAGCTCAGGATGGAGCTGAGACAGGAGCCCAGATAAGAGTTTCTGTTGCAGATGCCAGATTTGTAAAGCGCCCTGAGAAAGAATGGTAGGAAGAGAACTGGTGTCTTAAAAGTGAAAGAGGGAAACATTTTTTAAAGGAAGACGTAATCATCAATGCTGGAAAAAAACAAACTAAAAGATCTCATTGGATTCAGTCATGAAGTTGAGCTGGGAAAGAACAGTTGCAGAACGGGCAGAAGCTAGAGAGTAGTGGGCTGAGAAGCAAACGGGACAAGGGAGAGGAAGCAAAGTGCAGACTTGTGTCACAATTTCCACGGTTCGCCAAAAAGATCCAGAATGGTTTCCAGATAGAAATTACAGAACAGAAACAATATTGCTGTCATGGTGGGAAAAGAAAGGGCAGTGGGTCGGGAGGGTGTCCTATCTTGTCCCTTTCTGTAAGTTACCACAAGGTGGTGCTCGTGTCTTACTCGTCTTGTAATACTAAACCAGTCAAATCACAGATCATTTTCTCCATCCCGCAGAACAACTTCAACAGAAGGACCAACAAATCCTCCTCTTGTTGGAGGAGAAGGAGATGATTTTCCGGGACATGGCTGAGTGCAGCACTCCCTTGCCAGAGGATTGCTCCCCGACGCATAGCCCTAGAGTTCTCTTCCGCTCCAACACAGAAGAGGCTCTCAAAGGAGGACCTTTAATGAAAAGTGCAATAAATGAAGGTAATTAATATTCAGTATTGCCCCCTCGTCATCTCCTCCCAGAGTGGTTTTCACACTAATATTACCTGCCAGTTTTTACTTTTTTACTTTAAAATAAAGCACAAATGCAGAAAATTACCCATACCAAGTATTTCACTGTAGTAAATTATTAGGTGAATATCTTTTTAACCACTACCCACATCAAGAAATTAAATGTGCCCATACACCCTGAAGCCCCTCCCTCCATGTGCCCTGTCCCATCACAGGTCCCTCTCTCCAAAATGAGCAGTTACTCTAACTTTTTAAAAGTAATCACTTATATTTCTCTCTTTTTTTTTTTTTTTTTTTTTTTTTTTGGAGACAGGATCTTGCTGCTCTTTTGCCCAGTCTGGAATACAGTGGTGTGATTTTGGCTCACTGCAGCCCCCACCTCCTGAGTTCAAGTGGTTCTCCTGCCTCAGCCTCCCAAGCAGCTGGGACTACAGGTGTGCACCACCACACCCAGCTAATTTTTGTATTTTTCATAGAGATGGGGTTTCATCATGTTGGCCAGGCTGGTCTCCAACTCCAGACCTCAAGTGATCCACCCACCTCAGCCTCCCAAAGTGCTGGGATTATAGGCATGAGCCACTGCACCCAGCCTGCTTATGTTTTTTTATATGCGTCTTAAAATTCTTTGTGTGTGTGTGTGTGTGTGTGTGTGTGTGTGTTGGGAGTTTCACTCTTGTTGTCCAGGCTGGAGTGCAGTGGTGCAATGTCAGCTCACTGTAACCTCCACCTTCTGATCTGCCTGCCTTGACCTCCCAAAGTGCTGGGATTACAGGTGTGAGCCACAGCTCCCAGCTACCCAAAGGATTTTTTTTCTAAGTATAAGTAGTTTTAAAGAATATTCCTTGGTTTTTGTTACCCTAGGTTGATGCACTCAGGTTCACAGTGTTCTGTTTTCATAGGTGGTTACAAATTTTTCAGATTTCAGGAAGTTATTCTTGAATTACAATTTGTAGTATTTTCCCTGTTGCCTTTGCTTTGGTTTTCTTCAAGAACTCCATTTATCCTTATGTTGGACCTAGTCTGTCTTCAGTATTTGTGACTTTCTTTTAATACTTTTGATCTCTTCGCCTTTTTAATGTTTAAGTGGTCTTCCTTTCACCTGCTTTTTTCTTAAGTCCTTTGCTGCTGTGTTAAATTGCTCTTATATTCTTGTTTAGTTTTCATTTCTATAATGATGTGTTTTTCTTTTGAGTGTAGTTTTGCCATTTCATTTCTGTGTTTTCTAATTCTGACTTAAGTTCTTTCATGTCTTTTGTCCTTTTCTTAATGTGTTTTGCTCACTTATTTTATGGACATATTTTTCTGATGTGCTTTTATTATCTGTAGAGAAGTTAGACACTGTGTTCTGTCCACGATCACTCCCTGTTCTTAACTTTATATGGGATTTGACTTCAGTATTTTCTATTTCTCATTTTTATGTGAAATTAGTGTCTTAAGTTTATAGGTTCAGATAGCTTTTCTCACACCATAGGACTCGTCTATCATGTCTCTGTGGTTTTTCTTTTTTAATATGGCTTGTCTTAATAAGATTTCCTGCTGTTGGTCCCCTCCCTTGTTGCAGCTGGCCCTTCTTTATCTCTTTTCTTTTCTCCCGCTCAACTTTTCTTTCTTTCTCTCCACTCTGTTCTTTCTGTGAGCCACACCCTAGAAAAGAACCCTAGTGGGCCAGAGTCGAGATGCAAATTCTTAGGCTACTCTAGCCCCTTGAACTTACTTCATATTGGCAAAGGCAAAAACCCTGACTTTTTACTTGCTGTTCTGAAATCAGTTCATCTTACTTTTCAGGGAATATCTTCTGACTGCTTTGGATATGATTCCGGAAGCCATGCCACTGCTAGTAAATTACTCTGCCTTCCCTGTACACTTTGAAACTTCCTAGGTCTCTTGTATACAAAGTGGAAGGCCTCCTCTCTAAATTTCTAGTAGAATCCAACTAAAACACATACCCTTTCTGAGACCTTTCTGAGCAAAGGAACTCACCCAGTCACTCATTGGAACGTTTCAGTCATGTTCTTTGTACATATCATGTATACTATGAACTTGTTTTTTCCTCATTCAAGATAAGATGTCAGTTTTGCATGCTTCTTTTTTTCCAGTGGAGATCCTTCAAGGTCTGGTCAGTGGAAGTCTGGGAGGCACACTTGGGCAGACTGTCAGCAGCCCAGTAGAGCAAGAAGGCGTGGTCAGTCCTGTTTCCCTGCCCCGGAGAGCAGAGACCTTTGGAGGATTTGACAGTCATCAGATGAATGCTTCAAAAGGTAAATGATGTGGATGTGAAGTCATGGGCTTTTATAGGCAATCCTTGACTGTCCCACACAACTAAAAATGACTTGTATTTTATTAGCTACGTCTCCACTTCCATTCAGTCAGTAAATTTCTTAGTGAGATCTTAAGACACTCATTATGAGTCTGTCAGACTAATACTCATTTTGAGTAACAAAAAAGATTTTCCTAAGATCTTAGCTAAAAGAGTAGTAATACTTGTTCCTGCTTTCAGTTCTTCTGCATCAGTAAAATTATTAATAATCACTTAGCTGCCACCAAGCAGCTCCCCCTTTTTGGGGCCATCAGTAGGATTCAGAAATACTACATCCCTATAAGATAGCTATATGGTATTCTTTCCTTGGCTAGTGTGTTTCACAGCTTAAAAAAAAAACAAAAAAAAACCTATTTTTTGTTTAGGAGGCGAGAAGGAAGAAGGAGATGACGGCCAAGATCTTAGGAGAACGGAATCGGATAGTGGCCTTAAAAAGGTATTTCTGTTTAAAACATACTAGGACCCTCCTTGGCATTTCCCTCTGAATTCATAACCTTTGATATTATTTCACTTTGATCTTGTTTTGGATGTCTGAATTGCTGCTTTTGATAAAGTTATTTTCAGGGAAAAATCACATTTTTAAAACAAATAGTACGGTTAAGAGTCCCACATTATTGGCTGTCTGGCCTCACTGGCTTAGCCCAGTGTGTTCACATTCGTAACTCTGCCATGGTCCTGGCAGGACCGGTGACATTAGGAGGCTTGTTTCAGATGCTCCAAAGCCATCAGTGATAAACAGTTCAACCCTAAATTTTCTCTACCTTGTGAGAGGCTGTGGTAGAAAAGAAAGAAGATGGAAAGCGGCCGGGCGCTGTGGCTCACGCCTGTAATCCCAGCTCTTAGGGAGGCAGAGGCGGGAGGA